CGATCTTTTGATCTCTCTGCCTATAAATTCTGTGTCTGTGTGCTTCTCTTCACTGCACCTGACGAAGGAGCAGCGCTGCAAAAGCTTGTGATTTGAAGTAAACCTGTTGGACTATAAGCTGGTGTAGTGTGACTTCTGACCTTGTTCACCCCATTCCAACACCAGCACCTCCACATCATGTTACTGTTACTCCAGAATGTTTACCTATTTTCTTATCTTTGTATTACAAGCCTGATCCACTTCCCTAGTATAGCAAAAACTGTTAATACGTCATCATCTGATTGATATAAATCTTTTGAAATCTCATTCCCACAGCTAACCAGATAATATATCGAATTTTGTTAATGGATACTAAATGTCTAGGAGTGAAAGGCAAATGGGTGTTGTGAACTAATTGGTTAATTGTATTAAAATGTGTATCCAGCAGGTTGTTCTATTTTTCCTTTGTTTCATTTGGTTCACTTTGGACTAATTAGACTAATTTATTAGAAGGATATTCAGAAAGTATATTAAGCAGGATTTGCCAAAAGGTATTGGGTTTTATGGTGTGGTTGGATGAAATAAAACTTAGTGCAAGTGTATGCCTGGACACTCTCTAAAAGCATTTAACTTAGAGTGAACAACATGACTGCATTTTTAAAAAAGCAGTTAATTGATAAGGACTACTTTTGAAGCATATTTTTTGCAAGGAAATATTTTTCACAATGCTAAACCTGTTAGACCTCTCCTCCCAGGAAGTAGTTAGAGAATCTGTTGTGAACTTCTAATGCAATTATGTCTTTTCTTAAATAAAACAAACCTGAAATTATACACAGTATTCTACATGTGGTCTTATAAAAGCCCTGTACAACTACAGCAAAAGATCACCAGTTATATATTACATTCTCTTTGCAATAAATGGCAACTCCTGTTAACGTTAACTTTGACAATGACAATTCAAAAAATTCACTGAAGCCAACATGTATTTTAAAGGAGTTCTTTTATTTTAACAGGATCCTGGTTTCGTCCTTTTCAGAAGAGCAGTTAAACCGCTATGAGATGTATCGTCGCTCTGCCTTTCCCAAAGCTGCCATTAAAAGGGTTGGTTACTCTTCATCAGACTGCATTTGTTAGATTTGCTATCAGTGTTTTAATTTTTAAAATCCATTCAAATACAAATTCACATAATTAGAAAAATGAATAACAGTCTAAAGTTTTTAGTCTTTGGCTTTTTTCCAACTGCATCCAGTTTTTAAACTTTCAACTGAATCTGTCTGAAATTCATGTGGTAGCAGAGAAACATTGTGAAAAACCACAAAGGTGAATTTCTTTGCTAACCCAATGTAGTTCAAAAGATACTATTGATGATTGTGCCCTGGTTATTTTATGACTAGACAGTAAGATTGCAATATAGAGTCTGGGATGTGCGTTTTTTCCAGATTTCTTAATAGCTGAGGGAAGGTGAATTTTTGCGAAGCAAAACAGATTAGCATTAGTCTAGGTACATAGTGGATAAGCACTCCATCCTTTCATTTGGGACATGGATTCAGTTCCAGTCCGGATTTTTACATATACAGTGGCATTATCCTATTAATTTATGTTGTGAAGACCCAGCGTGGAATCATTGCCATGACAGACAATGAAATTTGAATTCAATAAAAATCTGGAATTGAGAGTCAAATGATGACTCTATCAATTGTCAGGAAAAATAATTGTTTCAGTAATGCCTTTTAGAAATCTATTGTTATTACCTGACCTGGCCTACATGTGACTCCAGACCCACAGCAATGTCGTTAACTCTTGACTCTTAACCACCATTGCTGTGGGTCTCGAGTCACATGTAGGCCAGGTAAGGTAAGGGTTTCCTTTCGTTAAGGACGTTAGTGAACCAGATGGGTTTTTCCTGACAAACAATGGATTCATGGACATCATTAGATTCTTAATTCCAAATATTTATTTAATTCAAACTCTTAACTGGATTCAGGATAGGCAATATATGCTGGCTTAGCCAACTGCACCCAGATCCTGTGAATGAATTTTCTAAAAAAATGGTAATCTTACTTTATTTTGAGTGAACAAGCTGTAGAAATATGATGAGTTGTCACCTATATCCCAATGTCTCATATGACAGCTGGGCAGGTGCACATAGCAAGAGACAAAACTGGCTTTGCTCAATATAGATACCATAATAGTAGTGTAAAGTTGGAATTATGGGTTAAGGCTTCATTTTCTCTCCAATGCCAACATCAGTGCATTGGGTTCACATCAATGCTAAACGTGTGGACTGTGAACATACTGTCAGAATCCATGAGGAGAGAGATTTAGGGAGACAACCCATATCTTGGCAATCTGCTGGGTCAGGTCCTGGGGCCAGGAAATGGGCCACGAAGTTGTGCTGATTTGGTTTGAATAAAATGGATGAGAATGCCTGGAGAATAAAACTTTTTTTTTTAAACTGTTGCTATGTATTCACACTAATAGAGTCCTTTCTCCTTGTAAAAAATATTTAATTATTTACAGGTAACTGGGAACTGTATTGTGGCTCCTTTTAGGTTTTTAAAACTGAAGGCCTAGGCTAGTTTGTCTTGATTTCAAGACTAATACTTGACTATTTTGTTTGTATGTTATTGGTAATTAAATAAATTAGTTTGAGATTTAGCATTTTTTTGGGATGGAATTTTTGTTGCATGAACGATTTACAGTGAGGTTGAATATGCACAAAGTATTATCTTCTATTGTGGCATGAGTCCACCCATAACAAAATGGATTGTAATGTCAAGGTTGGAGGAGTATTCAATTTGCAAATTGTTATTACAGCATTTTAGAAAGCATACTCAGGGGGAAGCGATGGCATAGTGGTATTATCACTGGACTATTAATCTAGAGTCCAGACATCATTCTGGGAACCCAGGTTCAAATCCCACCACAGCAGGTGGAATTTGAATTAATTAAATATTTGGAATTAAGAATCTAATGATGTCCATGAATCCATTGTTTGTCAGGAAATACCCATCTGGTTCACTAATGTCCTTACCAGAAGGAAACCCCTACCTGGCCTGGCCTACATGTGACTCCAGACCCACAGCAATGGTGGTTGACTCTTCACTGCTCTCTGGGCAATAAATGCTGCCTAGTGGGTGACACCCCTTATCCCATGAATAAATAAAGAAAAAAAATTAATAGAGACCTTTGTGGTTCTGCAATATTAGTTTTTTTAATGTGTGCTCAAAATTTACTAAACACGATAGATGGCTCTCCATAGTAGATAATCTTAGCGGGCAAGGATTTGAAGAAAACATTAGTTACAATTGTGTATTCACATATCGTAATCCAGAATTTGAGGTTTTTCCTGTTCTTTCTTCTAGCTGATCCAGTCAATCACAGGCTGCTCGGTATCTCAAAATGTAGTGATTGCCATGTCTGGTATTTCTAAAGTCTTTGTGGGTGAAGTAATGGAAGAAGGTAAGTTCAAAGAATAGAAGTTGTAAATGCATCAAAAGCAAAGGTAGGAAGGCCAACTTCCAAAATTTATTGTTCAGTGGTTTGATGTCTGATAGTCCATGTGCAGAGACGAGATACGAGATTAGGTCCAAACTTATTTATTCACTTCGCTTTATTACTTGCATTATTTTTGAGTGCATCTATGATTACGGATAAGAACATAAAAGAACACAAGACATAAAACATTGAAGGTCGGAAGCCCCAATCCAATGTACATGTAGCAACTGTGCCTGCTTCAATACTGAATTATGCTTAGCATTTTTCATTGTTTGTCTGACAATTGCTTTACAATTAGTATAATGTCAAGAAAATGTGATATCCATTGGGAGAAATGCATTTGTACATCATGTACTGGCTGGCTTGCCACAGTCATGTGATCTGTTCCTTGGCTGTAAGTGCTTACACAAGTTTATAGCAGCTATTAAACTATCTGTATTTAAGGTTTTAGCAAAGATCTGTAGTTTGGATTGTGGGTGAGGTTGTTGACTTGCTCGTCGAGCTGGCTTGTTTTCACTAAGATGTTTCGTCAGCGTGCTAGGTAACATAATCAGTGAGTCCTCCAATGAAGCAATGTTGTTCTACTCCATCTGGAATATTTGTACATGGTATACAAACCCATATAGAACAAAACCGGAAATGACACTGCTCACCATAACAGACCGGACAGTGTAAATTCCAAGCAGAGCAGAACAATATTGTTTCATCGGAGGCCTCCCTGATGACGTTACCTAGCATGGTGAGGAAGAGTCTGAACAAAAACAAGCCAGCTCGCTGAGTAAGTCAACATCCTCAAATACAGATAGCTACTGTTTCATGTCATGTATCAGTTAATTGAATATTCAAGCGGAGATTTAGTCTCCTGGAAAAGGCTTTTAGATGAAAGTAAAATAAAACTCACGAGGATTTACATTGCTGAAGCTGATTTGTTTCTGTAGATATTTTAGAATCAACCTGTTCAGGCTTTTGGAGTGAGTGGGACTCGAACCTGGGTCTCCTGGCTCAGAGACAGGAACATTACTACTGCACTACAGGAGCCCTCCGAATTTGCTTCTGTAAACTGTTGATAGGCATTGAAGCTACAAATTATGTGCAGTGCAAGGAAATACTTTAAATATAATTAAATACAGCTTTATCTCAAACTACCAGCTCCTTGCTGTATTTTTAAAGAAAGACACCATCTGTGTCTTTTACTATGCCAAATTGTATAGTAGCTTATGAACAGAATGCTGCAGAAAATCTAACTCAGCACCATGTGTGGAGAGAAAGTGTTCAACATTTAAGTTCAATACGACTTCAGAACCGAAAGATGTTAGAAATTTTTTTGCCTGACCCACAGATGCTGAGTTTCTTCAGCATTCTGTCTGTTTCAGATCTCCAGCATTCTCAGTATTTTGGTTTTATACTTATCGCAGCATATCCATTGTAACTGTAGTGACTGGTTGCTAGAAAATGGGTGCACTGTTCAATTTCTAGGAGTTTCTCTTCCTAAGAAGACAAAGAACTCCAGAAACCTAAAAAGTGCATAGGTCGTTTGAGTAATGCAGTCCTTTTTTCATTCTGAGGAGGGCCAGCATTTATTATTTGTCCCTATTGCCCAGTCCCTTTCCTGGGATGGGATTCAAGCCAAATTCTGAAACTTCTTCTTTGCGGAAAAGAAAATTAACTGCATATCAAAATGAGATTGCAGGTGCCTTTCCCAGCTGTTTCCATAAATTTGCCTCTATCTGGGCATTGGAATTATCGTAGCATAATTATGAAGGAGCCTCAGCAGCATTACAACAATTATTGAGCATCTTGCTTTCAAAAGCCTTTCTCTTACTGTTTTAGGTTTTCAGCATCTTATAGTCTAATCCTATACCATGTAGTTATCAGTAACACATTGCTTTATAGTCGTCAAACAGCAGCCAGGGGCATAGCCCTTTGAAATGGATTTGCATTGCCTAATTGTGAGAAGCCTGTGTGAGTTCCTGTGTGGTTAAGGATGAATGTCTATCAAGCCTATTATTGCTGTAGGGTATCAGCTCCATCTCCCAGCCTCACCTCAGCAATTTTTTCCATGTTAGTGCTAAGTGTATCAGCTCTTCAATGTTCCTTTGATTCCAGCACTTTGGCAGCCTTCTTATCATAGATCTTGAGCATTCCAACAAGGGCAAACAGAAATCAAACGTGTGAGTATGCTATCAGAGACATGAAAAAAAATGTACAGGTGGCAGGATGAATAGATTCAAGGAAGGCAAGTTACATAAATGTCTCAGAAAACAAAGGATGAGAAATAAATTTGCTTGTCTGTGCCATAGGAGATAAACTGGCATCTATAAAATTTAATTGGAAAGAGAGTGGAGAATTATAAATAGCAGTTGAGCTAATTTGACTAATGAAGCGTTCACCTTTAGGCATCTGTGCATTCTGTGGGATTCTGTGTATGACATGCAGCAGAATGTTTGTTTGTGTTTTTCTTTTGTTTAAATTGATTGTTTTGACATTTTTTTTTTGAAAAAGCTCTGGATGTTTGTGATAAGTGGGGAGAAACTCCACCTTTGCAGCCAAAGCACATGCGGGAGGCAGTGAGAAGACTTAAATTACGTGGACAGATTCCAAACACGAAGTACAAGAAGGTTTCATTTCATTAAGAGGAATCCAGCACCAGTGAACATTGCCACTATATGTATAGATTTGAATGTACATGGAATATTTTGACTGCATGTGTGGAAGCTTGTTTTCTTCTAAATGGGTCAGCCTTAAGTGCTGTTACTTGAACCAGATTTCCAGTTGTTACTTTGATCAATAATCTTTTTCAAATTAAAAGGGAACCAAAACATATTTCTGGGATAAGCAGTTTTCTAGAGTCTATTAATGTTCAGCAAGCTGTTGACATGCAGCAGACACTAGTGACGAAAGATTTTACATTGTGGCCAGTACATCCCTACATTACACACAGCCAAGGGGGAAAGAGAGATCCTACAATCAGCTGTTGAACTTTTTTCTATATATGTAGATAGGTGAACATTTGTAAATAAAAATTAGAAACTAGATGTGCTTGTAAATACAATCTGGGCAGTTCAGATTGTAACAGTTTTATACTACAAATAATGTGTTTTGGATTTATGCACCGAAGTAAGTAACAAACAAGTTGCCTCATTGGGTATTTGCTTATCCTACAAGTCATTGTATTTCATTGTTTCTGATGTAATGTACAAAATATACAAGATAAATAACCTTGATAATAAAGTCCATGCACAACTCAGTAATAGCTGTGACTTTTTTAAAAAATTGCTGTCCACCTCTTGAAGAAATACTAATTATTAAAAGATGAAAATTAGCAGAAATTATGAACGTGGAATTAAGTTATTTTGCCGTCCATAGGAGAAACTTCTAAATTTGTCTTGGTTTTTAAAAAGGTTTGTAGCAGGTTGTGGATGAGGTTGTAAATGTGCTCACCAGGCTGGTGTCTTTGATGTTCATGTATCCTAATGGTCTTCTTCCAGTTTAGCCTATAATGTTTTTCACAGTCCTTGCATGGTTTTTTGAACTGCGCAAAGCAGAACAGCAGCACTTATGCAGAGGTTTTAAAAGGAATGTGCTTTTTTGCGTATCTAATCTGCTGTTACCTCCACAACAACACAGCCAGCCACACTAGCCCCTCCTCGTGCACGTCAAAGACATATCAGAGATGACCTCAAGACTACTCTGACTCCTGGATATCAGGATAGTCCACAAACCAATAACCCCCTAGAAAAGCTACTGACGAACGTAAAGGATCCCATACCCACAACCGATAAAATCAACGTAATATACAAAATTCTATGCAAGAACTGTGAGAAACATTAACATAGGCCAATTTGGAAGAAAACTGGCAAAGATACACTAATACCAACTAGCCACCAAGAGAGACAACCAATTTCATTGGTCTCAATACACACACTCAAAGGAAAAGGACACAAATTCAACTGGGACAACACATCCATAATACCACAAGCCAGAGACATGCCAGGAAATTCTTGGAGGCCTGGCATCCAACCAGAACTCCATCGACAAACACTTTAAACTGGACCCGCTGTACAAACCACTCAAAAACATAACCGGAGGGGATGTCAACCACTCCAGCAAACAGAGGCATAGAAATATCAAGCAGGACAGAACACCAATGCTTCTCCAGAGGCTCGCTGATGATGTTACCTAGCAAGGTGATGAAACGTCTACAATCAAATGTACCGGCTCATTGAGCAAATCTACGACCTTATCTTGATTTTGTCATTCGAGGCTACAATTACATGATTAAAGGCTTCCTTATCTCTACTTTAAATCAGTTTTATATAAAGTTCAAGTTAAAAATTATGTATTATTATGACTAACCCAACACTTAAAAGTAATGAAACATTTGTGAATAAATTTTATGTATTCCTCAGCTACAGAAGGGAGGGAGGATACGTTTTACTGAAGATATACATAATCAAGGAGTGAGCTCACAAAAATAGGCTATTTGACTCCTTCAACCAACTTACTTGTTACATCTTCAAAGAACTCTAAGTAAATTTGTCAAACAAAACCACTGATCCCACTTTATCATTTTATAAAGTTCTAAACATACTGTTTTTGCTTTCTTAATTCTCTTCCATTTACTTGTTCCCATTAATCACTCCTCAATCTTCAAGGAAGCAGTGTTGAGTTACCCTCTTCCTTTTTATGCATTTGCAGAAGTTCAAAGTCTGCTATTTAAAAATTTCTTGGTATGAACATACCAACATGGAGCTGGAGTAGACTATTCAGCACCTTGACTCTGCTCCACCATTCGAGAAGTCATGGCTGGTTGAATGTAATCTCAAATCTGCATTCCTCCTTGCTTAACAAGAATCTAAACATCTCTGCTTTGTCAATATTCAGGGACTCAAACTTTTTTCCTGAAAAAAAAGTGATTGAAAACAAAGGTTCCAAACCTTCCAGGAGAAATTCTTAACAGTTTTCATATTTCTGATTAGTTTTCTCATACTCTTCCCTCCATTTTGTCTTTTATATTCAGTCCCATCTTCTGACCTTCCATTCAGCTTTGCTTAATTTTTGCTAAATCATTGAATTACAAGTATCAAATCTTTGGTACACTTATTTAGACATATATCCGTAATATTGTTATCAGCATACAAGCTTGGGGAAACTGAAATACAATTCCCTCTCAGGGTATGATCTTGTAAACATTTTCATAACATCTGTATAGTAGTAAGACACCTGTTGGTTGAACAAAGTCACAAGAGCAATGCAAAGGCATTGAAACTGTACAGAAAACAGCTTGCAACATTGTTCTTGGCCTTAACCAATTTAGTTGCTCAGGTGAGTTACACAAGATGGCATGGGCACACCAAAGAACATAGGCAATTAACTCTGGTATTCTTCATGACATCTGTTATACTTCCTCAACAGAATACATCTGAGATATTTCATAATTCTTATTAGCATCAACCATTTGTCTACTGCCTTACCTTTTGATCCGTTTTCTCAGTATATGCCGGCCAACTTTGTCAAGTTTATTTTAAGACAATAGATTTAGATTCAAATTTATCAGCTTGAAAGAATTTGAAATTTAGCAATAATTACTTTCCTAGACGATAAAACTTCCCTTGAGAATAGTTTGAATAGACTATTCATTAATCTTAATTATAGATCAAAAATAATCCACTGCTTTTTTGATTCCACAATGTATTGATCTAAGAAACTGTGCCAAATACATGCACTGAACTAGTCTCAAGGCAAACTTTGTCATATACATATCAATATGGAGATGAAAGACATCTTGATTATTTGATTACATCTTTCAAGCACCACAATGTAGCTTCTGTTAGGGGCTAATAGTTGACTTCCATAAAAGACTTTCTTTCCTGGCTTTTATTGAAATCTTTCCACATCTTAAATCACCAAGGCAAGATCATTTCTTACAATTGTACTGATGTTGTCATCTACTAACAGAATTATCAATTATATGCAACTTATGTCTACATGGACAAAATATCAAGTATATTTGAATATTCACAGCTGTAACTACCTTGCAACAATATTGCCACAATGGCTATCATACCTGTTTACTTACCTTTGTGTCATCAATTCATCTATTTTTTTTAAACCAATATTGGAGGCATTCAGAGAAACTGCCTTTCATTTGATTATTTGTTGGTAGATTCTTCTGTTGTAATCTCTGTTCATTGCTGTCAAACTATGGTTATTACCAATATCAGACACATGCATTTCATCTTGTTCACTCTCTACATTTTCCTTCATTTGAAAAACTTAGCAGAGTATCTGTCCTTTTAAGAAACAAAATAAAATGCAACAGGAGCCTTGTTTGACTGTAAAAAATAAGTTGCATCAATCCGAAGATACCTCAAACAGTAAAAGGGAATATTTCAGTGTTCAAGTTGCATCTATTGAATACTAAAGACACATTTCAGCAAAGAGACAAAACATTAGATGATATAATTTATTTCAAAAAATATTTAACTGTACTGATTCACAGAACCAGTCATGAACATGTACAGTAGTGGCTGAAAATGTGGAACTGAAAATACCACAGCAGAATTTCAACATGAATGCCTCAAACACACATTTTAAACCACTTTACTGGTAATTTTACCACTGTGTTGCAATGCTCATGCATTCTTAACTGTACAGTATTAAAATATCTTTGAGCAAAAAGTTGGGTGTGCCTTTTACTTGAGCATAAACAATTTAATCAAGTTTCAGCTGTTTACATTACATTTAGTTGTGACTTATAAAGACCTCTGCACATCAGTTAAAATACACAAGTGAAACCTGGAATGATTAAACAGTGTTTTGATTACTACATTTGCTTGCACTGGACTAAGGCATTGGATAAATTCAGTATTACAACAGTGGAGAAATGCTGGCTTCTGATGGTGACAAGAAATGGTCAAAATACAATGAGCAGTCATCAATCCTTTCCACAATGATAGAAAAAGAGCACCAGAGAGATCAAGGGGCAACAATTAAATTGATGATACAAGTTATGTCTACATTTTGACAAAAATATGGCACAGGAATATTAGTTTTAATGCTCTAAAGCTCAAATCAAAAATAAAGATACTAAGATAATGAATTTGGGAATGTGAAAGAAATTTACCTGAACTCCAATTTAAATTTAAAGATGAAAAGTAAAAACACCTTGCAGTTATCAGTGAGGGAAAGGTCACATTTCAAAAGACATTACATTATTTGGCAAGGAAAAGTTGTAAGATGGGCAGAAGGATAGATGGGACAAGGGAAGAAGAATTTAGATCAAAGTAACTAGAATTTAAAAGTAACCACTTGAATCAAAATACATGCATATTTTGATTGATATTTTAAATTGAGAGTCTTTGGTTCAAGTTTTTCCACATATCCAGAAATAAGCTCAGTGTGAACATTTGGGCACTGCACTGGACATTCGCATTTTGGTCTTGTTTTCAAAAAGCATCTGTCAAAATTAAATGCAGTTGATACAGTTTCTCTAATTTCAAGTGTTTGTAAAGATATAGTTAATCTCAGTAAGATGATAAAGAAAAAACATTTGTACATTTTCAGCCTACTCCACAAAAGATGCTGTGGAAGTAGTTTGTGTTGCCTTGAACTTTCTGGTGAAGTTCTAATTTGAATAAACTGCAATTTTTAATGCAAAACAAAGTGTGGCACATTAATATTTGTACATATTATAGAGGATTAACCAGTGCATCAAGTAATAGGCAGTACAGAAGCAAAGTCAGAACTTAACACTTCAGATGTACTAAATCAATTGTGCTCTTGTATAGATAGCACATAAAACAGCATTTGATTACAAAAGACAGTGGCAGTATTAAAAAAGATTTGCTAGATTTCAGTGCATGCACACAAAAAAATACTTCTTTCAAGCAATGGTAGAGTTCAGTCCTGGTTGTGACATTGCTTAGAAGACTTCCAGTAAATCATTGTAATAATTCATATGTCTTTGACAAATTAGGGCAGAGCAATATAATTCAGTGTATGGTGGCAGAGTGTGCTGGTGCATGGGTTGTATCCCCTGTCCTTCAAGTTCAGTTTTAATGGCAAAGTATTGTTCCAAATTGAGGGAGGAATAAAAGGTAAAAAGAAAAATAGTAGCCAGTTATGCCACTGAGGAGAAATATTTCAAGTCAAAAGGCATTACATTGTTCAGCAAGGATAAATTGTAAGGTCAGAAAAATGGGAGGAGGAATTTAGATCACAATAATTGTGGCTTTCAGGGAGTTA